AGAAGAGAAGCTTTCCTCCGCGCTAGCCGGGGGCTGCTTCTCCCTCTCCGGGTCCCCTTGGGTCTCTATTTTTTTCTGGGTGTCTGGGGGGCCCTTCCCTGGTCCTCGTTCCTTCTCTTCTGCCCTCCCCCCTCCTCCCCTTCCCTTATCGCCACTCTCACCCACGCCTCCCTTTTTTCTCTACCCCTTTCCTTTTCTCTCTTACACGCTTCTCTTACCTTTCTCTTCAGTCAGTTACTGTGTCTGTTGCTCTGTCCCGACCCCTATCCGTCTCCCCTCTTCCCTACCACGATCATTTGAGTCGAGGTCATTGGTTACATATTCCTTTTATAGCTTTGAAAGTTGCAGTTATTTATTCCACCAGAAAGACGGAATATGACTTGCTTTTTAAAGCGCCTTTATTTTCTTTCTCTGCTGCAATCTTCAAAACGTTACCTCTGCGTGAAAGTGGGCCTTTGTCTCCTGAGCGCTGGACTGAGGTCTGCCTCAAGAAGCCAGGCTCCCGGTAGTGTGGATGTTACGAATAGCTATACACAATATTATCCAGAACCAATCATCCATTTTCATATGTGATGTGCACTTTTCCCGCCCCGAACTTCTCCCGGGAGGATTGCAAACTGGCCACCTCTACTGGCCACCGGCTGGGGGAAAGGAGCAGCCGGGTCCTTTTGCTATAGAACTTATTGAAATAAAACCAACAGAAACGTCAACCAAACCCTGATCTGGCCTTAGCGTGACCTCAAACAGAGCATCCGTAGAAACAATAACACTCGCTATCTCTGGCCGGCGATGGTCCTGGAGGGGGTGGGCGCACTTCAGGGAGGGGGTTTGGAGAGAGGCCGGCTCCTGGCGTGGATCCGTGGGGTTGGGCTCGAGAGCGTTTGTTTTGCCAGTTTCGGAGGAAACGTGATTTTATTCTTGCTGTTAGAAAACAGAGGAAAATGAGTTGGGGGCCTGGGGAGGCGTCAGATCTAGGCAAACTCCGGGCAGGGCTCCGCCGTTTTCTGCGCCACCGTTTTATGGCTTCTTATCCCGGAGCCCAGGCCCGCGGCTCCCGGAGAGCGAGCGGCCGTGATTGGCGGCTCTCCGGGGCCGGCCATTGATGACTGCGGGGTTCTAATCTCCAGGAAACACAGGGGCTGCCGCGGCCATTTAGGGGTAATTATCCCAGCGCGGAGGGACAGCGAATTCCCTCGACTTTTAACTGGGCGCAATAAAAGCGGTAGATTAGGGCCGTCCCGATTAAGGAAAATGAATGACTAGAGCGGGAACTTTATTACCCGGCCGGCGTCCGGGGTCTGGCGGGAGGGGCTGGGCTGTGGACGCCAGGGCGATCGGCAGCCTCGCATCTGTCCACAGGCTCAGAGATAAGTTAGGGCCGCGGGGCGGGCTCGGGAATAGTCGCGTCGGGGAAATTTACGCCGCCTCTCCACATTTCTTACACACCCGAGACTGCAACCCAGGCACCAGGCGGGGCTTGCAGCCTCCAGCTCCCGTCGCCGGACCCAGCTGGAGGCGCGGGGCACCAAAGCGGCCAGTTTCGGAGGAAACGTGATAGAGCGTCCTTCCTCCCAGTATGGAAACAGAGGTGCGCCTGAGGGTGCCAGGCTAGAAGGCGTCACCGCGCCACCCTATTGCTGAGCGCACTGATGCCCAGCAAGGCTGCAGGCCCAGCACCTTGCTAGCGGCCCAGCAGTCCGATTAGATGGCCTCTGGGCCCACCCCCGCCGCACTCTGCTCGCGGGTTAAAAGGGGAGAGGAAACTGAGGTTTCTGGATTGTTTAGGTCAAGAAAAGAAAGGGGGGAAAAAGCGAGCTTGCTTGTTTGGCCCTCATATCCCAACTCAAAATGTTTGGCTCCCGAAGCACTTTGATGATCCCATGCAGTTCAGAGCTTTCTCCCTAGAAAAACGCACATAGGTCAAAACAGCTGAAGGGGCTCTGGGAATCCCTAGTTTGGAACCCCTGACTTAGGGCGGGGCAGGGGGCTCAAACCCCGCCGGGGGCCGTCTCCCGCGGCC